GGGGAGAGGGGGGATGATGAAGAGATGGAGGTCGAGATCAAGGAGGTGGGGAGGGGAAATAGAGGAGAAGAAGAGAGATGGATCAGAAACACAAGGCGGACTTACATTGTTGTCCTGATACAGAAAGGGCACTACTTCAGGGGCCGGAACTGGGGTCCTGGGCCGTGACGAAGCAGGCGAGGCATCCCTGGTGTGATCGGTGGCATTGGAGTAGTTGCGATCGCGGTGCGTTGGGCGGGTGTGACTGTAGGAGCGCGATCGCTGGTCCTTGCCCATATAAGAGTTTGGCAGGCTGCTCTCGGAGCTGTCGCGCCCAGGAAACTCCTCGCCGAAGAAGCCCTGCAGCTTGCGAAAGCCGCCACGGGGACCGCTAGCCTTGGAGCCAGTACTGCTAGCCGTCGTGGTGACACTAGCAGCGGATGGCCGTCGGCCGTCTGTGTAGTAGAGCTGCTCGGGAGAGTCCTGCAGGCCCAGCGACGAGCTGGCGCCGGTGCGAGATCCCATGCCGTGCAAGCCCGGGGAGAACTGCGAGAAGATTGACATGTTGTCGGCGGACTCGTCGACGAGGCTCGGAGGGTAGTTGGGGTTGGGGTGGCCTCGCGGCGGATCGAGCACGGCCAGGTCGCGGCGGTAGTTTGTGAGATCGCTCAATCGACGGCCTCCCTCTCTGGACGACGAGGGCGTCATCGCGGCGCCGCGAGTGGTGTTGGTCGAGGTGGGCGAGATCTGGAGGTCGTCATCTCGTGAGAGGCTCCTACACACAGCCGCAACGGTCGCAGGGGCCCGCGTTAGACATTTGCTTTCTCGCTGCCAGTCGGATGGAGAGCAAAGAGGCGACGGGACGGGCGGGCGGCACGAGGGCTCGCCAGGGACAGGAGGACGAGCTGGAGGGTGCAGAATCGAGGCTGGCAAAGCAAACATGAACTTACTTGTGATGATGAGGCGTGGGAGAGTCCGAGTCGAGCTGGGCTGGGTCGATGCCGATACCTATCCCCATTCCTACGCCTGCGCCAATGTCGGTACGGGCATCTTGACCTGCGTTTGCATTTGCGTTTGCGTTTGCGTTTGCGTTTGCGCCTGCGCCCGCGCCCGCACCAGCGCTGGACCCGGCGCCGGCACCGTTGCGCGAAGCAGCATCGGCCGAGGCCGCGGTCGGGGTCGAGGGCTTGGCCGTGATGGAGGAGCGAGTGCTGCTGTTGCTGGCGCTGGTGCCGGAGCTGATGCGGAACGCAGCGTCCTTGTCGGTCATTGTCGACAGCTCCAGGCCACTACCATGCGTTGCAAGAGAACCGGTGCTGGAGTCGTGGCGAGGCGCATTCACGTCATGCTTGGGCTTGACGCCGTGTGCCGCAGGAGCTGTCTGTCTGTCTTCTCTAGTCTTGTCTTGCCTTTATCCTGTGATCGTGTGCTGCTGCGGTCTCCCGTCGGTCGTCTGTCTGCGTTGTCGGGGCCGGCCACAGCAAAGAGATTTTTCGACGTCTGGCTGGCGGGCGAAGTATGACGAGGGGCTGGATGGAGAGAGCTGGGGATTGCCGGCTGCGGCGCGGGATTATCCAAAGTGACGAAAATGTCACAGGCAGAGAGGGCAGAGAGGCAGAGAGGCAGAGGCTTGACCAGAGCAGCGGCTTTGCCAGCCCCAGAGCCGGTTTGGCAGGGCTGAACAGTTTGCTGCTTAGCTCTGAGGGGGTGTGAGGGGGTGGGCGGAGGGTTGGCCTGGCTGGATTTGGCCTTGATGCGAATCGAGGCGAATCGAGCGAGGCTCGGTGGCAGAAAGCGGACAGGTACACGAACTCACCCAAAG